TTCTTTACATCTTATTGTGTGTATTTTAGCTGAAGATATTTTTTTTCTTTTTTGCTGTTCTCTGAATGCAAATATTCGATGGTGTTGAATTTGGGAACTTGTTTGTATTTTTATTGCAGTGAGGCAGAAAGTTCAAAATTTTTTGAATGCTGCTTGTAACGGGAATCTTGATCTTCTCAAGAGTATGGCAACTCATGTTTCATCTTTAATTTAGTATTCCTATGGTTAAATGGTAATCTGAAATGCTTTTTTTCATTTTTATCTTTGGATAATTGTTTTGAGTAGAGATTGCGGCTCAACTTGACGACGGGGAGGGACTGGCAAAAACAGTAGCCGATATTAAGGATGCAAACAAACGAGGTGCAATTCATTTTGCATCAAGAGAAGGCAAGACTGAAGTGTGCAAATTCTTGTTGGAAGAATTGAAGCTTGATGTTGACACAAGAGATGAAGATGGTATGCATTTGATTTTTACGTCATACACGGCCAAAGTATTCTTAGTCCTCTGTTCTTTGTGTACTAAAGATGCTTTGACTTACATTCTTAAATTACTTAAAAATGCAGGTGAGACTCCTCTTCTTCATGCTGCCCGACAAGGTCATACTCTCACTGCAAAATACCTTCTAGAATGCGGTGCCAATCCTACTATACCCAGTCACTTAGGTGCCACAGCATTGCATCATTCAGCTGGAATAGGTGTGTTTCTTTTAGCTTGTGTTACTTTTCTGAGCATGGGAGTGCCAAATCAGAATTGAAGAAAAATAAAAACAATCCCCATGAAGGGCACAAGGCTCTTATTCTTGGGGTCGTGGGATCGAGTCCTACGAAGGGCATTTCATAATTCGGAGGTCTCCTACAGAAGCTGCTCTCAACCTGGCGTTGGGAGCAACCTACTATCCTACTTCCCCTTAGCCCATTACATATGGGAATAAGGGTCAGCTAATAATTTTTTTCTGATTTGGTAGTGCCAAATTCACTACTTTGCTTGCAGGGAATATTGAGTTGCTGAAGCATATACTGGCCAAGGGTGTTGAGGTTGATGGAATATTGAGTTTTTGAAGCATATACTGGCCAAGGGTGTTGAGGTTGATTCGCAAAGTGATGCTGGCACCCCTTTAGTTTGGGCTGCTGGTCATGGTCAACACGATGCTGTAAAAGTTTTGTTAGAGCATAATGCTAATGTATGTTCCCTTTTCATGTTGTAATACTTTAATGCAAAAATTCTGAGTAGAGAATTTCTGTGTTTTATTTAGACGCTTCTGTTTTTAATATTTTCTTTGATGCGATTTAATCTTTTACTGCCTTTTATGATTGCTTCTGCAGCCTAATGCTGAGACTGAGGATAATGTCACTCCATTATTGTCGGCTGTAGCAGCAGGATCACTTGCATGCTTGGACTTGCTGGTTCAGGTTTTGTATTTTCTTGGTACTCTAGTATGCTGGATACATTTTTCGGTTCTAATATAATGCTTTCAAGATGGAAGTTTTTTATTTGACTTATGCCATCTCACAAACATTTTCATCGTTGTCACTGAGTTTTGCATTTTCTTGCATGCAGGCTGGTGCTGAAGTTAATGTTACAGCTGGGGGAGCAACTCCATTGCATATTGCGGCAGACCATGGTAACCCAGAATTAATAAACAGCTTACTGAAAGCTGGAGCTGATCCTAATGTCATTGATGAGGTGAGATCACTAATGCATTCATTTATCAGACAATAATCATCATCATCTTGCTTGAAGGATACTTTTTTGATCTGTATGAATTTATTAATTATTAGTAAGGAAGTGGGAAGTTTCTTACATTTACGTGTTAGATGGTGCAGTATCAAGCTGTTATTTAAAGCACTCTCATCTCTGTTTGAACTTGAACCCTGAGCATACATTTGGTAAGAATAAGTTAGTCAAACTCACTTCTCTATTTTTGAGAAAATTTTGAGTCAAAAATTGTTTCCCCTGGGATTTTTAGTTTCTCTCTCTCGTTATCGAGGAAATTAAAGTATAATTACCATCGAAGTACAAAGTGTTGGTTTTATAGATTTATTAGTTGACTTTATTCTCCATTTTTTATTTTTTCATCTCATCACAGGATGGCCAGAAGTCCATACAGGTTGCAGCAGCCAGAGGCCAACGCAAGGCTGTTGAGATTCTTTCTCCTTAACATCGAGAATCGATGCCATTCCAGAGTGGACAGTAGATGGTATTCTTGAATACATGCAATCCGAAACTAGCAAGCAACTGGTACAATTGTTTATTTCTTACTCCTATTTTTCATTTGGCATTGTGATTTTTTTATTATAAATGTGATGAAGTGGTTGTACTCTTTTCTTCTCTTGTCCCTTTCAAGTCTCACATGGATGTCATAAAAAATTTCAACTAATTACATCTTTTTATGGTGAACTTGAGCTTGCTTTTTAGCTAATATGTACATGTGCTAAGAAATTGATTACACAACTTACGAGGTAGAAGAGGAAATCCGTTACTAAAGAAAATATCTTGACTAGCATTGCTAGAGTTATCAATCGGATTTAAGTGGATTGCCGCGGATTTCTCTACTTTGTGCAACTTTCTTGTTGTTCTTGGAATGGAAATGTCTATATACACCGGTTATCCACATTTATTTCTGAGGTGAATTTGGCAGGAGGAAATGAAAAATGTGAAGGAAGCCAAGGGAACAAGGGACACCGCGTTGCCAACTAGTGATCTCCCTGAGGTCTCCTCTTTTTTCTATTCAGTGATTTATCTTGTTGATTTTTTCATTCTAGATAGGTTATTTCTCTTCCCTTTTACTTTGAGTGGGTCATCTTTAAATGATTTGATTCCCACGGATTTTTGTTTTTGGTTAGCCGTTGCTTTGTAATTTCCATGGTTGGAGTCTATATTTGATATATTACCCGGGAGTTTGAAGTAATGAAAGAACATATATATTATTCTCCTCGTATAACCTTAAACAATTTATCTAGGTGGCACCCGAAGCAAAGAAGAAAGCTGCAGAAGCCAAGTCAAGAGGAGATGAGGCTTTCAAAAGAAAAGATTTTCTTACAGCTGTAGACGCATATACACAAGTAAGATGCTAATCTCATCCCGTGCTAAAGCATTAACAATGTTTCCGCTATTCTATTGTGAGATTGGACTTGGATCCTATTGTTCCCAGACTTGAAATTCTGTCTAAAATTTGAACCTCCACGTTGCATTTTGGCTCGTTTTTCTGCCTCTTTTCCTTTGAAGCGATCCAAAACCAAGCCTGGTACGTTACATGAAGGAAAATGAGTTTTCTGACATTTGGTTGATTGAGTGTTTATGTGCCTTAATCACGTGGTTTAATGCATTTACAGGCAATTGATTTTGATCCAACTGATGCTACGTTGCTTTCAAATAGAAGCCTTTGTTGGATCCGTATTGGACAACCTGAGCAGGCTTTAGCTGATGCAAAGGCTTGCAGAGCATTAAGACCTGACTGGCCAAAAGCTTGCTATCGGGAAGGTGCCGCTCTGCGATTGTTGCAGGCATGTTACTATCTATTACCCTATTTGTCGAAGTTTCTAGTATTGTCATTCTTGTTACCTGACCAATGTTCGGTCTATCCTTCTACTGCAGAAATATGATGAAGCAGCCAATGCCTTCTATGAGGGTGTGCAGCTCGACCCCGAAAATAAGGAACTCGTAAATGCTTTCAGGTTTGTAATCTCACCTCCTTGTCCTCTCTACTTAGGTTATCCACGTTTTTTGCTGCCTGTGAATTGATTTTTCCTATTGCTGGAGGTAAAATGTATGTCTTGACACATATTCCGACAGAGTATAGAGATACGACCTTTTCAAATACATGGAATAATTTAGGAAAATTTCAAACATATTCATGTTTGACGAATCCAAGTAATATACATGATTCTAGCTTTGTTTTCGGGTTCGCTAAATTTACAGGGAAGCTGTGGAAGCAGGGAGGAAGTTCCATAGTGAAGAAAAGGATAAATCTAAAGTTTCTGCTTAGCTGCTGATAACACCACAAGCAATTGAGAAGATGAAGAAGATTTATGAACATGAGAATGTACATTAGAAGCATGTTTTGAAAGCAAATCTATGTATCACAATTGCATGCTTTTTTTCCCCCCAATACATTTGTTCATCAATGATTACACACTTTCTTATTACCATTACACATATTATTGTCACAATTGAAAGAAGTTTACATGCTTTAGGGTTTATGAGCAAATTGTTTTTAGTCCTTTAAAAGTGGCTTAATCATTTCAAAGTCCTTTGACTTGTTCGATTGGTGATATTAGAAGAGTGGTTCATGTGTCTAGATATGCTAGATATATAGACCAATGGCAAAGTGGAAATAAAAGTATAAAAAGCATATTGAACATTTTAAAACTACGAGTATCATATTGAAAGATCTGTTAAAATATAGTGGATACTGACGCCATTATCCATTTAAAAAAAAAACTTATATTGATATTTATATATATTTTAAATAAATACTTAAATTTAATTGTTATACACATTTTAATGCCAAAATCTAGCTTTTTATCAGACATATTAACACATTTGGTTGACGACGGAGAAGTTAAATTCATGTTAGGTTTCAAAATACACGTAAAAAGTTAAATTTAAGAATTAATTTAGATAACATAAAATATATTCAACAATTTGATTCATATAAAAAATGTAAATATAAAATAATATATTAGTTTAAATTTAAAATCTTACGATTATTAAATACCTTTTCTTAGGTTATTATCCATGAATATATTCTCTCTTTTAAACATAGATGTAATTTTTTTTTCACTCTTGTTGTAAGCTTTATAATAAGAAATAATGATAATATTAATAAAAAAATGACTTCGGTCGCAATCTTGCCATCCTAGCTCAGCTGGTGGAGCGCGTGGTTTTTATCCACGTGGGTTCGATTCCTGCATAGGGTGAATCCTCAATTATTTATATACAATTTTTTTTAGGAATTTTAATAAATTAGAAATCTTGGAACTTTTCTTTTGGGATTTCCTTCACAACGAAGAATCCCTTTAATCCCACAAGATCCAAACTTTAGTGCTTAATCTCCCTTCCACTCTCTCCATTCTTTTCCCAAATCATTCAAAGATCCAATCTTTCTCCGAAAATGACGTCAACCACCACAACTTACGGCACCATCACGTCCGCCCCAACCCTCATTTCCTCACACGCCAAACACACGCGCCGCCCATGGTCGGAACTCTTCTCCCTCTCCTCTTTCGCCCTCCCTAACTCCGCCGCCGATGCCAAAGACCGTATAAAGCTTAATGTCTCCTACTTCCGGGTGAATTACGTTATTACAGCGCTAACGATCCTCTTCTTGACTCTCCTTTGGCACCCCACTTCGATGATAGTTTTTCTGATAACTTTCATTTTCTGGTGGTTTTTGTACCTCTTTAATGACAACCCAGTAGTTATTTTCAACAGAACAGTGGATGATACTGTTGTATTGGGGGCTTTGAGTTTCGCTACTCTGCTTTTATTGGTTGTCACGCATGTGGGTGTTAATGTGCTAGTTGGGTTGATTATTGCTGTGGTTGTTATTAGTGTTCATGCTGCCTTTAGAGGAACTGAAGATTTGGGTTCCCCTGGTGAAGAGGAGGAAAATGGGTTGCTTTCTGTTGTTGGAAGTCAGCCTTTGAGGCCAACTTCTGGATATAATAGGATCTGATTCCATCTTTTTGGTGTCGAATTGTTTCGAAAGTTGTTTTATAGGTGTTGATTCAAGTGGGGTTTAGCTTTAAGGTTGTGGAAATTGGAGTGGAGGATTTGGTTGTTTCATTTTTGTTAAATGATCCTTTTAGTGGTTGGGCTTTTGGTTGATGTCTGCCTTGTGGTTTAGGTGCTATTAGTTTAATCTTCGAGGTCGATAGTGTTCGAGTTCTTACTTGTTCCATGCATGAATTCATCCTTGTGGTTTAGGTGTTTTTAGGTTTGGCATTGGTGTGGAAGTTGGTGGTTTCTTGGGGTTTTGCTTTGAATTGTGTCATGGGGATTGAAGGCTGTCTTTTGGTCCTGGTGTTTCTCATTTCTCCTTTTAGTGGTTAGTATTTGTGGCATGAGTTGTTTCATTCATGAAATGATCCCTTTGATCATTCTTCATTCGGAGTTTTCAGTTGACACTCGGGTTAGAAGTGGATATAACAACTTCTGTACTTTTGATTGAAGCTTGAAAGAGGTGAGATCTTGCGGCTTAATAGTTTGTATATCCTGGAAATATAGGTGAAGGTGTGGCTGCCTGCTTGTTTGATGGTAATGTTGGTTGTGTCTTCTGGCCAATTAACATGACTGTTAAATGAAATCTCGTCGGTCGGTGTGGATAGGGATGATGATGATGATGAAGCTGTTGCAATTGCTGACTAGTATGACACCATGGGAGCTTTGAGGTGATTAGTTTGTTATCGTATTGTTCCGATTCCGAAGTTACTGTTTTAGTCACTCAAGTGTAATCACTGATTTTCTTCAACAACAAAAAAAAAAGTGTAATCACTGGTTTCGTTGCTTTTTGGTGTAGCACAATCTGGATGAATCTAAAGATCAAAACTCTTTGCTTGCAAACTCGGTGTCTTAGAACATGTCTCGTAATGGTTGTTTGATAACCTTGAAGCATTGACAGGTTTGTTTCAGCTTATAAGCTTTGGCTGTTTTACAATTTGCCAAAGAGGGTTGTAAATGAGATGAGATGTATCACAAATTATTCGAGTAAACGATATGATAGATTTATAATTTTTTTTATATTGAAAGATAATAAATATATTACAATCATATATATTATATAAAGTAAGGTGCAAAAGCCTATATTATCCAATAAATAAATAAATAAAATTATAAAATTTCAATTGTCAAATTTGAAATTGGTGATATTGTGTTTCTAAATTAATTAAACAAACAATTATATTTTTATATTAACAAGAAGCTGATACGACAATTAAAAAGTTATCAATGTGCCAAAATCATATGATTGTATTCATTTGCTATGCCATTCTAAATTAATTTTGTTTTAAAATTCTCATATATGTTCTTATAATTAATTTAAATTTTAATACTTACCAAATCTTATATATTTAGGAAATTAATTTAAACGATTCATTTCTTACAATTTACCCTAAATATGTTTCAATCCAAATTTTCTAAAAGGTAATAAAATATTAAACGATATTACTTTTTAGTTATAAATATTCAAGAATGAAATAAAAAAAATTCAGTAACTTAATGTGTATTACATGCATGTCCTGTGAAACCAGTTAAAACTATGATGATCCTACCTAAGATAACATATATGTTTAGATGATTGGAGTTGCGAATAATTCGGACAGAACATGAAAAAAAGATTAAACGGGCGTCTCAGGGAGCTTGGACTTTTCGACAATACGATAGAACCATAACGAAGTCCTTCGCTGATGAACCGACTGTTGCTGGGATCTTCGCTGTAGATGCAGTACGAAACCAATAGTCTACCAAGCTATGAAGTTGTAATGACGGTACGACCGGTTGACCTTGGCACATGATCTCCACCTGCAAAAATGCATTCACTTAAACCATAATGAAGAAAAATCATTGATAGGTTAAGAGTTTCATCAATGCCATCAAAACATGCTTATACCATGAACAGTTTAGATTTTTCCAACTTCCATGTGCTTTACAAAAGTAGATAAATCCAGTTCGAAACTTACGGAAAGAGGTAATAAGTTGTGAAGAGAAGTACAAGAAATGAGAACAAACATGGATATACTGAACCAAGAAAAGGGTCAAAGAATCTTCTGGAACCAGAGCTGAAACATTCTATCCGACAAGATGCAAACCGATATGAAACCAAGGAATTAAAACTGAAGTGCTACCGTTGTTTTTGCCTTTAGTTTCATTTCAGCATTCAGCTCCAGAAAACAAGAAAAGGAGAACAGCAAGCATCGTGATAACGAAAAATTATGGCAAAATAGCATCACTATTTTTGAATGATGTAAAATGTAGGCACTCTAAACTTTCTGGGAAAAACAGAAAACCTGGTAAAGGTCATCTCACCTCGGCTTCACTTGTAAGATCAAGTTTCTTTACAAGGTACTTTTGGATGAATGAGACTGGCATTTGACCATCCCTGTTACCATAAGAAAAGAAGTAAAATCATACGGACACTATAGCAATTTTTATGATATCACAAACTCAGCAGAAGCAAATGAGGGGCAAAAGCAGATTCCGAGTGGCTAGTACGGACAGACTACTCACTTTATCCTCAAGTAGCATGCAGAAAGCTGTGGAAGGGAAATATGTCCTATCCTGAAACCATTTCATAAAATCGATAGTAAATCAGAGATACTCAAGTTGAAAGTCTATCAGAAAATGAAGCATGCCATTGAGAATTCGCTCATCAAGAAAAGAACATACTGTAAGAGGCAAATCATTACTAAGTGTGTATAAAGTGTGAAATCAGTATCGTACAGGTCTTCACAAGCAACTAATGAGAACCAAATTGGATTGTTTTTTGTATTCCACTTAGACCCCAAAGTGTCTAGCATGATCCTATTGGAGCCAGCTGCCTTCTTTTGTGCTTCTGTATGCAACCTTCTACGTTTCACAGGTTTTGTAATCAAATTTGCCCCATTCTTTTCATCCAGGACTTTTGAATTCAGCCGATGCTCCTTACTTTTATATTTATGAATACTCAATTTTCCATCAGGAACAGTGGGGGATTCAAGGCCAGCTTTTATTTCAGGCGCATATAAATGACGATCAGGGCCATTATGTGGCTCAGATACAGAAGCTGGTGATGCCTGTGAATTTAACTTGGATGACTTTCTGTTAGCTGCTTCGACAAGACAGTTTAAGGATGTCCACAAATCTGCTTTCCCTTCCATAATTTCAACATCATCTGTATCTTCATTAGACCTGTGTTCACTAGAAGGTTTTGCCCCGGAACAATCCTGCATCGATTTAAGGAAGATGGACAAGTTTTCAAAAACTAAGTTTGAAGTTTACATAACATAATCGTAAACAATATTTCTTCAGCCTCCTTTACCTGCCTTTTACGTTGACTAATTTTGTTTGAGGAATCGGGTGAGGTTGAGCCTGAGGGATGATCTTCTGCGGAATCTTCTTTCTTAGGGGACCCCTCAACAGAGAAACTACACCCTCGAAAAATCAGCAATCCTTTTTCGTGCAGTAGCTTTCGTTCTCCTTCCAGTCAAACCACGCTGCATTGGCACTTTGGGAGTACTGACCACCAATGATGACAGTGATTTTTCTTTTCTTTTTGCTGGTGGTGAAGCTGAAGGCATAACCTCGGGAGCACTTATCTTTCTTCTTTTGTAAGGGAAAATTTTTGCCCTTACTTCTTGTAAACTGTGGTCTGGTCTGCATATATTTATAGGAAAAATAATTCTGTGCGAGCTTATAACAACACAAAACTTCATAATAAACACACCGACTGTAAGTTTTCATATATATACAGATTCTTCGGAAACTTGCATAGTATCACAAAAATGGAGTGCATCTAGCTAGCAGATATTTTAAAAGCAATATGCTAAAAGCAACATCTGCTGACACAGACTTGTAAAAAGTCCTTAAGAAGCCAAGGTGCAGCACGGGACGTGCGTCAGAGCATGCTGACGAGCGACTCAATGCATAAAAACTTTCATTTACGACGTTGAAATTGATATAACAGCACAGTTATACAATTTCTGTCCAGCGACAGTGGTTACAGAGATAAAAACATACAATACCAGACACAATCTTTCCAGCTATAATTCAGGAAAAAAAACCAATTTTGACATTAGTGGGACTTGATCAGAGCTTTTGAATTCTACTGCTAACAATTTGCACTGTTTACAGGGTAACAGTTATAGTTCTTATATTTGAAAAAGGATAATGACACAAGATTCATATATTTCTGAATACCCAGAATCAACAACCTGAGTTTGTCAACTGGCAGACATCCCAGCTCAATGTCGCATATGGGACAACAATCCATCCCTTCATCCGAGAGCTTCTCGTATATGCACTTCCTACAGACTGAATTGATTTCAAGATTCAGTGCATCGGAAGTGAGCCACAACAGCATAAATCAAACATTCCAAGGAAAAACAGCAGCAACCTTGACTTCGCAGTTCAACACATTATATGAATCAAAAGCACAACACAAAGCAGTACAATGTTCAAGTAGAAGTTGTACAATGTAGAAGCATTTAGTAGATGATCTCTCTTTGAAGATGACAACATTGATATTCAACTTAAAAGTGGGTTAATTAAAGCAACCTATATACCAACTTGTTCAAAAGGCAGTCCTTAATACATGAGACAGAAAAGTTGGCGTTCTTGCTGTCTTGCATACCAGAATCATTCATGGGGGCCAATTATGGCATACTCTAAATCTCCTACATAAGTCTGCCATATCCTTTGGCTATTATACAATCATATAATTCAAACCACCACTATGTACATACAACATACGTATATGCATGAGACCAACAAAGGTAAAGAAGTGAAAACAGAACATGGAGTATTGACCAGAACAACCAGGTTGCAAGAAAAATGAAATCACATTTAAAATAATTATAAATCGGATGACAAAAAAAATCTGAAATTTGGCATTCAATAGAAATCAAATACAAAACATCTGTAACGTATAGTTTAATGAATGTAAGACATCGAGAAAGACATATCTCGACACAACAGAACTAATCAAATAAATTGCAAAATAGTGAACCTCAGATGAAAAAACCCAGAAAGGAAAAACAACCCAGAATAAAATAATCATCAAAATACAACAAGAAAAAGAAGAAAACCCAGATCAGCAATTATCAAGGAAAGAAAAAGCACATGAAAAATAACATAAAAGAAAAGAGAAACTAACACGTATGGAGACACAGGGAAATAGTTGTAGCTTCCTTTAAAAGCTTATTACAAAGAGGGCATGTCATGCATGACTCTAAAGTTTCTCTCTTTACTTTGACAACACGATGATGACTACCACCAACCATCTTTTTCTCCCTTCACATTCAAAGGCTGAAACTGGTTCGATGAAGAAGAAAATTCATCAGCAAACAATGGGTAAGTCCAATAAACTAAGAAAAAAAAATTAGAAGAAGATTGAGGTTTTCGTTGGGTTCTGACAAGTGTGTGATTGGTGTCAAAAAGGATGGGAAGCTTCTTTATTATTACATGAAGGATATCGTGAAAGCCTGATCTAAACTGGAACAGATATGAATGGAAGGGGCGGGTTTTGGAGGTGGAATTTTTAGAACTTAACTACGTGAGTTTGGTTGGATTTTCGGACACAAAATAGAAAAGAAAACAAAAACAGCGGCTTGTAAAAGTCTTTTGGCTTTGGCTCTTGGTGGTTAACTGGTTTGAGTTTTATTTTTGGGGTA